AGTTTATCAATGACTAAGGGAGGAGGGTGTCGATGGAGAAGAGAAGGGGTCCAAGGACAGAACCTTGAGGGACCCCTACAGAGAGAGGGAGTGAAGAGGAGGAGGCGGCAGCATTATAGGTAATGCTGAAGAAGCGCTGCGATAGGTAGGAGAACCAGGAGAGATCAGAGTCTCGGAGGCCAAGAGTGGAGTTTTTTTTGAGGAGGGGATGGTCAACCGTATCAAAAGCCGCAAAGAGGTCAAGTAGTAAGAGTACGGAGTAGTGGCCATTGGTTTTAGCTGTTAGTAGATCATTAGTGAGTTTTAGTAGGGCAGTTTCAGTGGAGTGTAGTGAGCGAAAGTCAGACTGTAAAGGGTCAAGAAGGTTGTTGTTGGTGAGGTGGGAGCTCAGGTGATTGTAGACTAACCGTTCTAGGAGTTTAGAGGTAAATGGCAGCAGGGAGATGGGTCTTAAGTTGTTCAGGTTGGTGGGGTCCAGGGAGGGCTTTTTAAGTATGGGAGTGATGTGCGCATGCTTTAGAGGGGAGGGGAAGGCACCGTTAGAGAGGGAGAGATTAAAGATGTGAGTGAGGGAGCATAGGACGGAAGAAGAGGATGACCGTAGTAGTTGTGAGGGGGCAGGTAGTGAGACGGGCTTCTGAGAAAACCTTAGTGACCTCTTCGGTAGTAGCAAGGTGAAAAGAGGAAAGTGTTGAGGGAGGTTTAGTATAAGGTATGCTAAGTGGGATGGATGTCTGTGCAGTGGCGATGCCCCTATGAATTGCGTCAAACTTGTTTTTGAAATGATTTGCAATCTCATGAGCAGTGAGTGAGGTACTGGGTGGAGAAAGTAGAGAGTTAAAAGTAGAGAAGAGACGATGAGGACTGGATGAGAAGGTATTAATAGAGTGACAAAGTAGGCTTGTTTGGCAGCATGAAAGGAGGAAGTGTATGTTAAGAAAGCAGATTTATATAGGGTGAATGCTTGTTGAGATTTGGTTTTACGCCACGATCGCTCCAGCGCACGACTATGTTGTTTAAGATTTCTGCTGTTTTCAGTCTGCCAAGGTTGTAATGGTCGGGGGCTGATGCTTCGTTTAGAGGAGCAAGTGAGTAATGTGGATGAAAGCGAACTGTTGTAGACAGCAGTGGCCAGGTCAGGGCAGGACAGGGGAGAGATTTTGTCATAGAGTTGGTCAGTTGCAGAGTGGAAAGGAGCAGTTTTCAAGTTGTGAAGCTTTCTGTGGGTAATTGTTTGCTGCCTGGAGGGATAGGCGTTTGAAGGACACTGTGAAGGTGATGAGATTGTGATCAGAGAGAGGAAAGGGGGTGTTTGTGAGGTTGTAGTGAGTGCAAAGACGGGAGAAAACAAAGTCTAATGTATTCCCATCAGAGTGAGTGGAGGACTGTATACACTGTGCTAATGCAACAGATGAGGTTATGTTGAAGAGTTGGGATGTAGCCAGGTTGTCGGCATTAATAGGGATGTTAAAATCTCCGAGAATGATAGTGGGTAGTTCAGAGGAGAGAAAGTAGGGTAGCCAGGTGGAGAAATCATCAAGAAAGCGCAACACCGGTCCAGGAGGCCGATAGATCACTGCAATCCTCAGTGAAATGGGAGAGAACAGCCGGATGCAGTGAGTCTCGAAAGAATAGAAGGATAGAGAGGGAGGGTTAGGGAGGACTTGAAAGGTGCTGAGTGGGGATAGAAGCAAACCAACTCCACCACCTTTTCGACCACTGGGTCTGGGTGAGTGGGTCCAGAGAAGGTCTCCATAGGAAAGTGCTGCGGGGAGAAGAAGAATCTGCTGCTTGAAGCCAGGTTTCTGTAATTGCTAGTAGTTAAGGGAGCGGGAGACAAAAGGGTCATGGACAGAGGTGAGCTTATTATAGACAGAGCGGGCATTCCAGAGCACACATGAAAAAGGGAGGGTGGTTTTTGGGAGCATGGGGACTGATGTTAAATTGAGGGGATCGCGACTATTCCCGGAAGAAAGAGGATGCCTGGTGTGGGGGTGAGATAATGGAGGACCAGGATTTGGGGAGATATCCCAGAGGTTAGGAGAAGAAGAAGGGTGAGGAAAGTAACATGGGAGCGGGATGTACATGAGTGCACATGTCTTCCAGTCCCGGTGTTTGGGTCAGCAGATGAGTGAAGTATCAGCAGGAGGTGATGAGAGATGGTAGGGAGATGTAGGGAGATGGTAGCAGTGAGGGTGAGATGTGTAATCTTTGGGGAGGAGCAGAGGGGTAAAGAAGTGAGATTTTGTGAACGCAGGATAGCAATATGAAAAGGAGGAGTAGAGGGGACATATTAAAAAGGTACACGGAGTGGGACTCAGACTTGTAGATGTTTCCCCAGGGTGTTTGCTTGCAGTCCATCCAGCATGCAGTAGAGTTCTTTGTTGAATCCTCCTGCTGCTTGGGTTATCCTGCTTTAGTTCAACTGCTCTTAGCACTCCTTCAAAAGCAGCACTCATGCAAAATCAGCACCCCATCTGTGACACCCCCCCCCCCCCACGAGCTGATCTAAATTTATAGGGAGATGGTCAAATGAGCACTCTTCCCCGCCCCAATTAGGAACCGATAAGGATCACATGAATGGGGGGGGGGGGTTTCTCAAACACAGACCAGATACAGGCCATGGTCATAAGAAGAGTGCAGCAAGAGGTGAGACCTACTCAACATAGACAAAAATATATACACTATTTGTTCTGCAATTAACAAGAGTCCACGCGTTGTTTCAGTTTAGAATGGAGAAGAGCAGATAGCAGCAAATTACCCAGAGACAGCTGGAGTCTATGCGTTGTTTCATTTTATATATATATATATATATATATATATATATATATATATATATATGTATTTTTTTTCCTTCTTCTATGCTAGTGGGGGAGATGCATTGTAGCACTTTACATTTACTTTTATTTTCTGTGTAAGGTAGCGCTGCACCATCTGTTTTTATACATTGTTCAGTGTCAGCAGCTGCCCATCCTATTTATCTTATTCATCCATTCATTCTGCGGATTCAATTGTGTACTTCCATTTTTCATTTGTTGCTATGCTGTCCTAGCACATCACTTGATTTGTTTTTGATTGTGGTAGATTATTATCGGTTAGGGCGTCAATCTTGTGAGTGTTTATTACTGCTTTGTTTTACTTTTTCTGCAATTTGCCATTTTTATGTAGGAGATATTTTTGTTAGCTTGATTTCAGCTAGGATTTTGCCTTGAAGAACTGTTATGTTTTACTCATTTTGTGATCCTTCTTTGACCTCTTCCCTGTATGTGTCTTCTAACCCTTGCACTGTGTGAGGTCATCACTAGGGGATGTGGTTGGAGCTTTGGGTTTATTAGTCTGTTCGCTTCCATGTTGTAGGTGTCCGGAGAATGATGGACTGACTTCGAAACGTTGACAATAAATACACTGCGGTTTTTCATCTTCCACCTTTGCAAGACCTCTAAACCAGCTTTGGATTTATAAACAATAAATAAGCCATTTAGGGTCCATGCACATAAGGCCACTGTAAAAAATGACAGAGCCTCTGGCAGAAAAAGCAGCATAACAATGCTCACAGTGGCGTGTATTGAAGAAGAGTTTATGAGCGTTTGAGTATTTGCTTTTATAAGCCCCTCCCCCCCAAAAAAAACATTCCCCTATGCTCATTTTCAACTATAATCAATGTACACTTTAAAAAACACTCCTAAACGGCGCATCAATTGTTATTTTCTACCCGAAAGCTCCTCTCAAAAACGCATTTTTTTTCCCAACCTGAAAACACTCCTCCGCAAATATGCCTGTCAACAGCCAAATGTGCATGGACTGCTTACACAACAACCTGGTTTGGTGCAGGCCGGTGTGGGTAAAGGCAATGCATTTGTGACCTGTGTTCGGTGTGTCGTTTACTTTAACTGATCCCCTCCAGCAGTTCACAAGGGCATTGCGACTGGAATGCGGTGTGCAGGAAGGCACACAGGAGCATGGTTCCCCCGTCCCCCATTTCCAGTGTGAACGAGCACTAAAGGAGACCTACAGTCAAAGCTTTTTTTTGCCTGCACTACTCCTATGTTTCACAGGAGTGAAGTTCATTCTGTCAGCTGATATGATAGAGCTTGTTCATAAGGTCAGGATCCACCTGGAAGCCTGGACAGGCAGATGGCTCAGCCTCTCAGCGATCCTCCGAGAGCCTGAGACACCCACTCCCACCACCTCCACAGCCTGGCACTCCAGTGAGCGCTGGAGGGGCAGAGAAGAGAGCCGAAGTCTGACAGTCACCGTTCTCTGCTCAGAGCGGAGGGGTAAAACTAAACGATCAGCGATATTTGTTCGCTCAGTTCTCAGTGCAGAGCTGGCGGGGAACAGGTTCAGTATCGGATCAATGCTACATCTACCTAGGTAAGTATGATTTTATTTTAGAAGTCCTTTCTTCTTTTTTAAACTGCAGGGGGGGGCTATGGTTTTTTAACAGACTTCACCACTGCATTAAATAGCATGGTTAAGCCAAGCTGGCCCAAACATATTTCCATACCAGAACAGCCTGGCTGCTGTAACAGATTGCAGAATTAGCTCCGTGTTCCAGCAGAAGTACGAGGCACTTCCTCTGTGCTGATGGGTTGAGTGTGTCTTAGCACATATCCACCATTGAGGAGACGCTTTGTACATGATCAATGAATACAAGGTTTCCGCTTATTGGCCAAGGTGCAAATCGTAATATCATCCACCTGCCTCTCCAACATGCCCAATCACAGGAAGCCTTGCATTCCATGATAAAAATACAAGGCTTCTCCTGAGTGGTGGAGATGTGATAAATCCAACTTTCTCTCGCTCTTCCTGGCAACGGAGCAGAACGGTCTCGTTCTGTTGCTATAAAACAGCGCTGCCTACTGTATGTAGCCAAGGCTACTACAGTCTATTACAGCAGCCCCAGCGGCCAGATCGCTCTGGCCAGCCTGGTCCATACAAACTATTAAAAAGAAAGTAAACCTGGAATTCTCTTTTCAACAGAATAAAAGCAGATTTACCCTCTTTAGCTCCTCCTCCTTCGTGTACGTCAGACAGAAATAGAACACGCGGAAATCCTTGCAGTAGATGATCAACTTCTCTGGATACTTCTTAAGTGATGGCCCCGATATAAGAACTTTCTTCTTGTCATCAAATACTGAAAAAGAAAAAAATTGTTGCTAAAGAATTACCATATTTTTCGCTCCATAAGACGCACCTAGGTTTTAGAGGCAGAAAACAGGAAAAAAAATATTCTGAACTAATGGACTGCAGACACAGTACAGGGGATGAGCAGAGACTGCGGACACAGTACAGGAGATGAGCAGAGACTGCGGACACAGTACAGGAGATGAGCAGAGACTGCGGACACAGTACAGGAGATGAGCAGAGACTGCGGACACAGTACAGGGGATGAGCAGAGACTGCGGACACAGTACAGGGGATGAGCAGAGACTGCGGACACAGTACAGGGGATGAGCAGAGACTGCGGACACAGTACAGGGGATGAGCAGAGACTGCGGACACAGTACAGGGGATGAGCAGAGACTGCGGACACAGTACAGGGGATGAGCAGAGACTGCGGACACAGTACAGGGGATGAGCAGAGACTGCGGACACAGTACAGGGGATGAGCAGAGACTGCGGACACAGTACAGGGGATGAGCAGAGACTGCGGACACAGTACAGGGGATGAGCAGAGACTGCGGACACAGTACAGGGGATGAGCAGAGACTGCGGACACAGTACAGGGGATGAGCAGAGACTGCGGACACAGTACAGGGGATGAGCAGAGACTGCGGACACAGTACAGGGGATGAGCAGAGACTGCGGACACAGTACAGGGGATGAGCAGAGACTGCGGACACAGTACAGGGGATGAGCAGAGACTGCGGACACAGTACAGGGGATGAGCAGAGACTGCGGACACAGTACAGGGGATGAGCAGAGACTGCGGACACAGTACAGGGGATGAGCAGAGACTGCGGACACAGTACAGGGGATGAGCAGAGACTGCGGACACAGTACAGGGGATGAGCAGAGACTGCGGACACAGTACAGGGGATGAGCAGAGACTGCGGACACAGTACAGGGGATGAGCAGAGACTGCGGACACAGTACAGGGGATGAGCAGAGACTGCGGACACAGTACAGGGGATGAGCAGAGACTGCGGACACAGTACAGGGGATGAGCAGAGACTGCGGACACAGTACAGGGGATGGGGATGAGCAGAGACTGCGGACACAGTACAGGGGATGAGCAGAGACTGCGGACACAGTACAGGGGATGAGCAGAGACTGCGGACACAGTACAGGGGATGAGCAGAGACTGCGGACACAGTACAGGGGATGAGCAGAGACTGCGGACACAGTACAGGGGATGAGCAGAGACTGCGGACACAGTACAGGGGATGAGCAGAGACTGCGGACACAGTACAGGGGATGAGCAGAGACTGCGGACACAGTACAGGGGATGAGCAGAGACTGCGGACACAGTACAGGGGATGAGCAGAGACTGCGGACACAGTACAGGGGATGAGCAGAGACTGCGGACACAGTACAGGGGATGAGCAGAGACTGCGGACACAGTACAGGGGATGAGCAGAGACTGCGGACACAGTACAGGGGATGAGCAGAGACTGCGGACACAGTACAGGGGATGAGCAGAGACTGCGGACACAGTACAGGGGATGAGCAGAGACTGCGGACACAGTACAGGGGATGAGCAGAGACTGCGGACACAGTACAGGGGATGAGCAGAGACTGCGGACACAGTACAGGGGATGAGCAGAGACTGCGGACACAGTACAGGGGATGAGCAGAGACTGCGGACACAGTACAGGGGATGAGCAGAGACTGCGGACACAGTACAGGGGATGAGCAGAGACTGCGGACACAGTACAGGGGATGAGCAGAGACTGCGGACACAGTACAGGGGATGAGCAGAGACTGCGGACACAGTACAGGGGATGAGCAGAGACTGCGGACACAGTACAGGGGATGAGCAGAGACTGCGGACACAGTACAGGGGATGAGCAGAGACTGCGGACACAGTACAGGGGATGAGCAGAGACTGCGGACACAGTACAGGGGATGAGCAGAGACTGCGGACACAGTACAGGGGATGAGCAGAGACTGCGGACACAGTACAGGGGATGAGCAGAGACTGCGGACACAGTACAGGGGATGAGCAGAGACTGCGGACACAGTACAGGGGATGAGCAGAGACTGCGGACACAGTACAGGGGATGAGCAGAGAGACTGCGGACACAGTACAGGGGATGAGCAGAGACTGCGGACACAGTACAGGGGATGAGCAGAGACTGCGGACACAGTACAGGGGATGAGCAGAGACTGCGGACACAGTACAGGGGATGAGCAGAGACTGCGGACACAGTACAGGGGATGAGCAGAGACTGCGGACACAGTACAGGGGATGAGCAGAGACTGCGGACACAGTACAGGGGATGAGCAGAGACTGCGGACACAGTACAGGGGATGAGCAGAGACTGCGGACACAGTACAGGGGATGAGCAGAGACTGCGGACACAGTACAGGGGATGAGCAGAGACTGCGGACACAGTACAGGGGATGAGCAGAGACTGCGGACACAGTACAGGGGATGAGCAGAGACTGCGGACACAGTACAGGGGATGAGCAGAGACTGCGGACACAGTACAGGGGATGAGCAGAGACTGCGGACACAGTACAGGGGATGAGCAGAGACTGCGGACACAGTACAGGGGATGAGCAGAGACTGCGGACACAGTACAGGGGATGAGCAGAGACTGCGGACACAGTACAGGGGATGAGCAGAGACTGCGGACACAGTACAGGGGATGAGCAGAGACTGCGGACACAGTACAGGGGATGAGCAGAGACTGCGGACACAGTACAGGAGATGACCAGAGACTGCGGACACAGTACAGGGGATGAGCAGAGACTGCGGACACAGTACAGGGGATGAGCAGAGACTGCGGACACAGTACAGGAGATGACCAGAGACTGCGGACACAGTACAGGAGATGACCAGAGACTGCGGACACAGTACAGGAGATGACCAGAGATTGGACAGTACAGGAGATGACTGCTGACCTTTGGGGAGGGGGGGAGCGGGTACCTGAATTTGACAGGTACCCGCTCTTACTTTCGCGGAGTTGTTCTTTCATCTTACCTGTTCCTCTATCCAGCCGCGCGCTGTCTTCCCGGCTTCTGTAGTGTGGGCGCTCGGCTTAACAGCCGGGTGCCCAGTGCGCATGAGCGAGAAGCGCTGCGCTTTGTGATTGGTCCAGCGGCTTCTGGGATCTGTCATGTGTCCCAGGTGCCGCCTTACCATTCACAGAGAGCACCGCTTTTTGCGCATGCGCACTTGGCACCCGGCTGTCAAGCCGAGCGCCCACACTAAAAGAAGCCGGGAAGACAGCGCGCCGCTGGATAGAGGAACAGGTAAGGTCCCGCTGCTGAGCCGAGCGGCCGGCGGCCCGGTATTCTGACACGGCGGCGGTGGAAATACCAGACCGGCCGCTCCATAAGACGCACTGACATTTTCCCCCCTTTTTGGGGGGAAAAAAAAAAAAGTGTGTCTTATGGAGCGAAAAATACAGCGAAAAAAAAAATGAAAAGCCGAAGATCAGACTGTAACATGCTGGAATGAGGGCATTATAACCAAAAACTTCACTCCAAGCATTTTTTTTTTTTTTACAGCGAGATCGGGTTAGCACCTCTGTAGCCACTGGGGAGCTTTTCTGCAGGCAGCTTGTAGTGGTTGGGCTGTCGGGATACCCACAGCTCTGCTCCCTACAATATGTAATTTTTTGCATTGCTGTTTTAACAAAGTAATAACTTGGTTTGCGAAGGCATCTGGGGCACATATCCTTTGTGGCTGTTCAGGAAAATATATACATGAAGGTTTGTTTGCCGAGAGTTCAGCTTTAAGATGTTTATGCATGTTACAGTCTCCTTTTTTCAAATATACTAACAGCTGTGTAACGTTAAGGCCTACCTGACTGATTAATATTTTACAGATTGGGTAAGGTAGGCCCACACACACTAGAAAGCGGAAAGCAATTGTTAAAATCATGCAGTGTTCTATATCCAATTTGGGAGACTGTCCAATTTGGGAGACATCCCCTCACTTCCTGTCTTGATGACACAACAGGAAGTAAGAGAAAATATCACCTAACATCCCTTCTTAGACAGTTATCACCACATACTGAAGGAAGATTCTCCTCTACTTTTGGAGGAACTCCTGGTGAACATTTGGCATTTGAGAAGTTCAAAAAAACTTTTAGATGGGTTTCTTAGCAAATACAATGTACAGGGATATGGGAAATTGTAGTGACAAACACACACACAAGCTGGATGGACTAGTGTCTTTCCTACCTTACCAACTATCTCTCTCTATTGTAACCTGGCGGATGGGTATGGAAGATGCAGGATACGGAGATGAGGTCAGCTTGACCTCACTACAAAGCATGATGTCAAACCATTTAGCAGTATATGGCGCTTAGGATTACATTTTCTATTTAAACTATGTGCGAGAATATCAATCATGGCTAATTATTAACTTTCTATTGGACGCTGTGTACATTAGGCCCAAACCGGTTTGCTTAAACCAAAAGCTGAACAATGATAAAACGCTAACAATATTTACCCAGAGAAATAGGACTTGCTGTAGGTCAGTCAACCCCCATGGTTTTTTCTAAAGAAACAATCTTCCTGTTACTAATGAACACAAATTCCCCTTTATTGCTCATTAGCGGACTACCTTTCAAGAGATGATCATAGACAGATTTTTTTAATCCCTTCATGACGGAAAGGTAAAACAAATCCGACCGCCTGAACAGTTTTCCAATGTGACACACAATAGTGACACTGTATATATCATTGCAACTACTTCGTGTATCCAGAAATATACCTTGTTTTTTTTTCAGGACAAATGAAGCTTTCATTTGGCGGTAAATAGTAAAGGATATATCCTGATTTTTTTAACTATCAAAGAAAAACTAGCACAAAATCATAAATATAATAAAAAAAAAATATGTATATATAGCTGTATATTTCTTACCATTACCAAGACCTACCCCTAGGAGCAACCCAAAACAAAATGTATTTGCTCCTGACGATTGCAGCAATACCACATGTGTATATTTGTTTGTACCCAGTA